ACCTCGCTGGTTTCTAAAAGTATTTCTCTCTCTAATAGGCAACAGCTAGAAAATGAGAAGAAGAGGAGAGAGACTATTGAGAGGGAGAAGGAGCAGATGCTGAGGGAGAAAGAAGAGTTGGTGATGAGACTACAAGAGTATGAACTGAAGACCCAGAAAGCAGAGAGAGGTAAAGGGCTTTCCTGAGTCAGCGAGCAGGGGATCACACACATTGTGTCAGAAGCTCTTCTCTCTTATGAAAGAATAGTCACGTAGCTCAACAGCTGCTCTTACCTGAAATGCTGCCATCTTGTGACACTTTACTCTGGTATCTCAAACCACCTTCTGTCTACAAATGTGTCTGCTGCTGTGGATAAATGCAGGGAAAGGGAACCTTTTCTTTATACAGGGCAGAGGTCAGCAGCCGTGATGTAAAGGTCACTGTGTATCTACTTTGTCCCTTAGCACAGACAGAAAATTAAATACAGGACCCCTAATGGTCAAGAGGAAGGGCTGTTTAGAACCACTGCTTGACTGCCTTGATGTCTGTCTTCCCAGAGCTCTCGGATCAGATCCAACGAGCCAGGCAGCTTGAGGAGGAGAGGAGACGAGCCCAGGAAGAAGCTGAGCGTCTAGAAGCTGACCGCTTGGCTGCCCTTCGGGCCAAGGAAGAGCTGGAGAAACAAGCCGTTGACCAGATAAAGAGCCAGGAACAGCTGGTAGGAACCCTAGCCATGTTGATAGCAATTGTGTACAATCCAGAGTTGTAAACTGTAGTTGCACTGGATGCATCTACACGTATATAATAAACGGTGCATGTCACGCTGGAGTTTAATGCTCCCAGGTGCACCACTTGAATGTGCGCCTGGAACCACAGCAGAGCAACCCTGGCTGGCAGGGTGCTTGCCCGGTCAGTCCAGCCTGCTCCAGCCCAGCTCCATGTGCTGCAGAAGGGCTAGCTGGAGCACAAGAAGCACACTCATGCCCCAGCTAGCCGGGTCTGTCTACATGCGCGTCGCTACACGTGAAAATTCTGCAGTAGGATAGTACTTGTATTTACTACAAGTACTAACCTGCTGCAAAATGAATTGGTTTCCTGTGGCTTAATAGAGCCACACGTGTAGATGCCAAGACATTTACTGCAGAGCTAATTGGGCAACTCCACAGTAAACGTCTCCTGTAGATGCACTCGCTATTGAATTCAGCTTTATTACTGCTGCGCGTGGGTTTTTTATGTTGTATACAAGGCAAATGATCAGCTAGGTCAGTGGACACGCTGTAGTAGCATAATCAAGGTGTCCATCTCTGACTGAAAAATCTTGAATACATCTAAATTGCCCAGAATATAAGAGTGGAGATTGCTGCAAAATCCATGCAGCATTCAAGCCATGTTTGTCCTTCACAAAGGTATTATTGAAAGACTTCAGAGTATAATACCAGCCTTGCTATTCAACAGGCTACCGAGCTTGCAGAATATACAGCCAAGATTGCCCTTCTGGAAGAGTCCAGGAAACGTAAAGAGAGTGAAGTTGAAGAGTGGCAGCACAGGGTGAGTTTTTTCCACTTCCTTAAGTTGATCCAGGCTTTAAACTTGAGACGATAGAATGCACCTGTCTCTTTATTTGGAGGTGTGATCTTTTATAGAGGAAATTCTGGGACAAACTTGTATAGACCTGACACAAATGACAAGTTTATGGATGATGACTCTCTGAATTTCCAACCCAGAGAGTATTGTTTAGTCATCTGTCAAACCTTTAAATAGTTGGCTGTAAAAACTGACTGCCATCTTAACTCTAGAGTTATGATCAGTCTTGAAATTATTGCAGGAAGTACAGCAAATGCAGCAACACAAAAGAAGGAACTCCCAACAAATGTGTACTGTTGGCAAAGTGCCTTCTCTGTGATAACACTCTCTGAAAAGTCTTGTATTCATAAAGGAATACAGCAGAATTAGGCACCAGTCTATGGGATTCCTAAGGATATGTTTTATATGCTAAAAAGGTTAATAGCATAAATCTAGAAACCCATTAGTTACTTAACTTTCCATCTAGGTGTGTGTTTTGTTTTTTGTTTATTTGTTTCATTTTGTGTTTCGGTACTTGGAACCTCCTAATAAAACAACCCAGCAGGACTTGGGGGGGCGGGGGAATTATCTTGTGGGGAAATATGGGATGCTCTTCTTCATCAGGGATGATTTGATTTAAATCACTGGTAAGAGCCTCGATTTAATCATTGTTTCCTACAAGAACTGCATTCTTGTTGTTTGCTATCCTTTATGCATTTAACTTCTTCTTGAAACTTTGCACTTTTAGAAAAAGGTAAGGGCTTGACTATGTGTACACAAACTTGCCAGTAGGGTGGTTAATCGGGTATCTCTCATCTCCATATACTGCTGTTAACAAGGATGTTATCTCTGGAGATGACAAACTTTCCCCATGCCTGAAGAGAAGGGAGTTTGTGCCCAAAAGCTTGCAAAGAACATTTTTCCCAAATGTGTAGTTGGTCTTAATAAAAGATATTGCATCTACCCAAAGAATCATGTCTGCCTACGATCTCTGGAGACACAAATCCACAGTTTGAGAACTGCAACTAGGCATCACACAGAAGCTTAATGGGATCTTCTAGACTGAGCATGGTGTCCCATTGGGTAGAGTGGTTTTCTTTAATCTTTACTAATCTATAGAGGAGCCTCTGGAAACCTCGTAAGATTGGGCCCCTAATGTAGTCCATAGCTTGTGACCTATTTATAAAAATTCTAAAAAGGTTATGTGGATATATGGCCTCAAATAGGGATTATAACATCTAGTTATATACTATTCCATGATGATATCTTTTGAGCTTAACATATCTTAAAGTAAAACTTTTTTTTAAAAGCACCTTAAATTTAAATGATTAAAATCAGATTTCCTTTTTATTTAAAAGTTTAAAAATCCAATTTTAATTTTATTAATGGTTCATTTTTTATCTACCCTGCTCTTCATATATTCGTTCAGGTGCTTGTGAGACACTTGATGGGAATTCTAAAGTGTGCAGTTGGCCACAGAAATCTTGGATGCTTTGAAACTTCAGTGAATGTGGAAACTTTTTAACTAGCATTCTTCCATTTTCAGTGAACTGTAAAGCCTTAGCTTGCTCTACTGCAGTTCCCTTTCAAAATCTGGAAGTTTATTGTTCAGACATTACCATATTAGCAAGTATAGGGACTAGATAACCAGTTTACTAGCAAGTGGTATGACTACTTAAAGTTTAGAAGCCAATTTAACATTCAAGTCCCACAACTTAGGGATGTATATTTCTCATCAGATGTCCTTGAACAGGTTTCTGTTTTGAAGGACACTTGTAAATGTGTTCTACGATCTTGTTTGGTAGCCTGTTTTTCCTCTCTCAGGTAATCGTTATTGTATCAGGAGAAGTCTAATTTTATTAAAATCTTACTGGCCTGATCTACTATCCTGACTTACATTATTAATACTAAAACAAGCTTTCATTATACACAAGAGTATAAAAAGTACTCTTTTCTTGTAGCAGATGGCACACACCCCTAAGAGATGGTTAAGGTACTATATATAGCTTGTTAAACTGGGTTTAAGTACAATTTACACACCTGCCTTTTTGTTGTTCTTTTTAAAGGCTAAGGAAGCCCAGGAAGATCTAGTAAAGACAAAAGAAGAGCTACATTTGGTAATGACTGCCCCACCTCCACCTCCACCACCTGTCTACGAGCCAGTGAACTACCATGTCCATGATAACTTGCAGGAAGAAGGATCAGAATACTCTGGCTACAGCGCAGACTTATCAAGTGAAGGGATCTTGGATGACCGCAATGAAGAGAAGCGCATTACTGAAGCAGAGAAGAACGAGCGTGTGCAGAGGCAGTTGATGGTAAGAAAGCAAAGTTACTGGGAGAAAATTTGACTAAAAGCAAATGTTAATGAATATAATAGACTAGACAATGGATCAGTCTGTGTCTATACTTATTACAACAGTCCATTTTTATGCAGTCCATACCGCTTTCCTCATTGCTCAGACACTGAGGATGCATTTTCAGCTTTTGGCATTTCAGAGATCTTGTTTTCGCAGACAGCACCTCTTGCAAAACTCCAGTTGCCCCATTTCCGCCAGTGTCTGTTCTATCCTAAGAATCCTGTCATTTGTCATGAGGCTGTAAGGTCTCTTCAAAAAAAAATCTCGGGTTTGTGATGTCTTTTTGTGGTTTTTAACATTGCAGACCTTGTCGAGTGAGCTGGCCCAGGCAAGGGATGAAAATAAGCGGACCCACAATGACATGATCCATTCGGAGAACATTCGACAAGGACGTGACAAGTACAAGACACTGAGGCAAATCCGACAGGGCAACACCAAACAGAGAATTGATGAGTTTGAGGCTATGTAAATAGTGTTTACAGCCAAAAAGGCAAAACTATGGGGCAAAAGCAGTTTTTAATGCTGATTTTTACTTTTTTTTTTCTGAGGGGTCACTGTATGACACACTTATCAAATGCTCAGCCTAAAAGAGATCCCAATGGCTGTTTATCCTCCAACTTTTAGTACCAAAATGTGATAACTGCCCATCAGGTCTGTCAACCAAACCATTTTTCTTGGTAATCTTTGTTCATGCATATCCTAGTGCCAAAAGGCCTTTATGTAATGTCCATATTCTCAAGCAGGACTTAATGTTCCATTCTTCTAGTTCTGATAATGATGCTTCTTCTATGGCAGTTCCTGGATTCAGCTTGGTTTAAAAAAAAAAAAAAAAAGGTGAATTTTGTGCCATACAACCTTGGATTCTCCAAGTGCAGCATATAATCAGGCTTCTGGCAAAGCAGAACGTAGAATTCTATGCCTGCATTTTCCAAACTAGTGCTGACCACTGCCTGAACCTAGTTTTCAGACTCATGTGGTTGATTAGGTTTTCCTGGTTGCTTATGCCCAATTGGACATGTTCCTGCAGTGATCGCTCAGAAGAAATGCAGTATAGGAACACTCTTTGGTATCCTCTTTACATAGTTAGACAGATACTCAACTGGAATTTAATACAAACTGTTTATATTCCAGCCTAATTAATGATCAGCTGTAGTGTAGTATTTATGTATAGATAAAGTAATAATATGGATTGTAACACTAGTTTAAAAGGGAAATAAAGTTGCTCTGTATATTTTGTTACTGTTTTCAGATTTAATAAATTTGGATATGTAAAAAAAAAAGTTTAAACAATATACTTAGTCTAATGTGCTACAGCCAGTGTATGAAATGGATTACTTGCTATGGAGCATGTGTAAAGATGATTTTTTTTTTTTTTTTTTTTTTTTTACTTCAATGAAAGTTGTGATACATGCATGTGATTCAGTATATACAGTTTTACTGCACCAATTTTTTTCTAACAAGCTTTCTATTTTTTTTTTTTTTTTAATATTTGATTTAATAATGTTTCAGACTCCAGCCATGAAGGGACTGTTTATATCACGTTTGTATTCTCTCTCTTACAGAGAGCATTCCTGTGGACTTTTTCCTAACCCACTCCCTCCCATCCAGTCTTTTGAAAATCTGTTAAAGTCCAATGAAATCTGGTATAAGTTCTCCCCCTCTTCCATTTACAACCCTTAATGCTGCTTCATAGTCTTAAAGTTAAACCCTCTTTATCGAAGTGTTGTAGACCCTTTTTTCTTTTGGTGACTGACACATATCTAAATAAAAGATCTGCAAGCTGACAAGGAATTAGAAGTCAAGTGGTTTGTGTTGGGTGGGATGTTTTCACCCCAGCACACCAGCCTGATGTGTGCTAAGACTGCAGCATAGTCCTGCTTGCATATTCTTGTTTTGAGTACAGTGAAGTCTCCTTACAGCTATGCTTACTCTGTTAACCGGGGAGGACAGAAAGTGCAAGCAGCATTTTCAAAGTGGCGATGGCAGAGGGACAAGGACTGAGAAGAGGGAGATTTGGTTTAGAGAGAGCTCTTTGAGTGCCAAGAGAAAAAGCATTTGACAGGGACGTGCTACCCTTATTCTGACACTGGGTCTGCAGCAAGGAAACATCACACTCACCAAGTTACCACTAATTCTAATACAGCTTCTGCTGAGACTTACATGTAACATACACCGTAGGAATTCTAATCAGACAGGGCTTTCTAATGGTGTTTACGCCTATTCATCCTGATATGCCAACAATTCTGACCAAAGCAAGGGCTTTGTCAAGCTGTTGATGGACTCATATCATGTAATGCTGCCACCCAGCCAGGGGGTGATAGCAGGGAATGTGGCTGCAGAATAATTCCTACATAACAACGACCCAGCAGTTGTGAATGGAGGGAACACGCAGTTCCTTCCCTCTATCCACCACTTGAACAATTTCTCAACACCGGGCAGAGCCTGGCTCTAGGGCGGAAGTGATGTTTTCAGATGGTTGGCAGAGCATTGCATCCCAGCTTCTGAGCTGGAATGAAACAAGGAGCAGGTAACTTTTGTTAGTCAGATAATGTAGAGACCATGTAGATTGCATGGTGAAGTCATTACTCCACTGTAATCAGCAGGTGTGCCAGCAGCACAGGGAGGCACATGTGAGCTAGCTGTAATCCAGCTATAGCTGAGTAACAATAGTAATTAAGACACAGGCTTCAACTAGCTAAATAAGGACCCAAGGACCCTGGTGGGCTTGCACTGAAGCCTGTGCTACCGCATTTCTACTGCTGAATTACAGGCTCCTGGTCAGATTTACAGCTGGAGTGATGTTTAAATACTCCAAAGCTATTAAATGTGCCTGTCTTCCATATTGGCTAATGTAGTAGTTGCCACAGCTATTTTTCCAGATCACTAACTGGCAGGTAAGTACTTATGATATCATATTTATAAAACATAGACCACAGAAAGGGTTGGCGGGGAGGGCAAGGCCAAAATATGGACTAAACTATTTGATCCTTAGCCTCCCTCTATACAAGGAAGCCAGCTGTGACTTCTGTAACTGCTGACAACTACAGGGAAAGGCCTTCTTTCCCCTATCAAAGCAACGTAGCTTCTGAACCACGGTAGCAGTTTTGAGGAACAATACTAAAGTAGAGCTTACAAAGTTAAACCTTCCCTTTTGGTAATGAGATTTACACAGTTGCACCACTTAATCCCATTACAATCCCCTCTCCCTCAAATTGGAGTATGTCTGATCTGAGCCCTGATAAATATCTTCTCAGTGGGGGTGATACTTAAATCACCTACTGCCTTTTTCAAAGTAGTGCTCCTAGGGTGTGAGACTAGCAACAATCCATTAGTCTTGCTCAGCCTTTTGTTACACTGCTGTTTTGCTTACAGATACAGGCTGCTATTTACAGCTTCAAATGAAACAAAGCCCTGTTTAATTTTTTGCTTCTCAAGTTTCTAATGGCAGTTTTCTCAAAATCCCCAAAGAAAGTTGTATAATTTAGGATTGTCCACTCCTTGCTTCCTTCTACAAGTCTCCTTTCAAAGGGTAGAGGTTTCTTCCCAGAAAGCAAAGTGCTGATTTTTTTAGCCATGGCTGGAGCATGTTCTGTATAGCCTTGCATGTTCAAGCCCATCAGCAATACTTGCCTCTTCAACCAGCTGAAGATATTCTTGCCATCCAGGTGCTATTAAGATTTAAACACCCCTTTATTTGACTGCAGAGACAGCGTAATGTCCATCCAGGTATTTGGTCTGCTCAGTATTCTTTGCCAAATAACTTTTGCTTGGGGATTGGAGGCTGTGGAGCCGATTGGTTCTTCTGCAAGGAAGTCCAAGCAAAAGGGTAAGGCCAAGTGTTATATAAACAGGGTGACGTCTTGGGATTTCTGAGCCCAGCTCTACATCTTTGCTTGTCCCAATTATTATACAGTCTCTGTTTTCCACCCCTTCTCCCTTGTGCTTATTATATTATAGAAAAACTAAATGGGAACAGATTCTCGGGAGCAGTTTATGTGGTTAAGACAACTGCTTGCCTGACAAACGTAGAGTTGTCTTGGGCCTGGTTTCCCAATAGGTGTCCCTCTAAAATCTAGTGATGGTGATTTAAAATGGTTACTATGTCACCAGTAGTTATACAGCAGTCACCTAGCCTACTACACCTAAAACTCCAAAGCTCCTCCTTTGTCTGCCCAAATGCCTTGTATGCTTCTACGTGGGTTGCACTGAAAAGTACAGCTAGAAGTGACTGCCAGAGTCTAGTCCAACTCCCTGCCTGAAGCAGGATCCTCCCCATCCAAACCTATTGTCTAACTCAGGGGTGCTCAGCTGCTGGCCTGTGGAGCCATGGCAGCTGGCCTGCAGAAATCCCCATGAGTCAAAAAATTTGGCAGTGGGGAGCAATGGAAGCTTAGCAAGCCAAATCCAGTCTTTCCTAGGCCATTGCTACACAGCAGGATCAGGGCTGGGCCCAACCCTCAACACATCCAGATCAGGCCAGGCTGCTCCCTATTCCTGCCCCTGTCCTGCACATCTGGATCAGGGCTGAGATGCTCTACCCGCACCTTGTGTCCCAATTGGGGCCAAGCTAATACATGACCTTGTATCCCCACACACATGGATCTGAGCCAGGCTGTTCTCCAACCCCTTGCCCCACTCCTAGCAGCTGACTCAGGTCCCTGCCATGCCAACCTTGCATACTAGATTTATCCCACTAGCCAGATCTGGCCTGTGGCCAGACACGGCACTACCCATCCCGCCCACAGGGAAAACAAGTTGGGCATCACTAGCTTAACTCCTCAATAACATGCTGCAAAACAGAGGACTCCTAAATAAGCTCTGGGCTCCTGGCATCAAGTGCAGTCACATTTATATATAAAATGACAAACCCTGACATTTTTTTCAATTTAAAAGCCACCACAACATTTCCAAGGTAATAAGAGAAGCCATGGTCCTTGTACAGAACAGTGAGGGCCTTACCAGTAATACTCATGACACAGCTGCTGTACATATGCTGCAACTACTTTGTCAGCGTGGAACATCTCAGCTCGTCTCCAAAAGCATAGCGGCCAACTGTTCAGAATTGGGAAGCCCTGCACATGGTTATCTGAGCGCTCTTGGCTATGAATGCCCCAGCTATAGAACATTAGTGTCGGACTGATTATTAAAGGGCTTTGTGTTTCACTGTAAAAGTACAGTAGTAGTTGCTGTGGAAATCCTGCCAGGAGACAAAGCAGGCTCAGAGCAGCTCCAATTAATGTTTAAAAAAATTCTTGGGACTCTGTTTACACTTCGGACTTTGTTTACCCAAGAAGCAGCTGTTATATGAAAGACAGTGGCTGAAGCCAAAGAAGGAATAATGGAGAACCTAATGGGTCAGTTCCTGAAAAGGGTGATTAGATAAGTAACTAGCAGGCCTGCAGGTGTGGCATGCCAAACTAGGAGTCCACAAGCTTAATGCAGGCTCAGCCTCGGAAGAGGAATGTATTTACAGAAGCGGAGACAATAAGCTATCCTGACCCTGGAACTGGGACTGCCCCTGTGTTCGTGTGGCTATCCACTGACTTCAATGGGGCCCCATACAAGAACATGCATGAGTGTTTGTAGCAGCACCTGGAAGCCTCATTCAAGGTCAGTGCTAAGAAATGTACAACCTCAGGCTTTGAGCAGGTAATGTGAATGCTATTTTATCATGTAAACTAAGTACTAGGGCTTTTCCATTTGGCTTCACATTTAAATGATAAAAGGACTTACTTGTGCTAAGCCTGGCTCCCCCCAGAAATCGGTCACTTAAGCCAAAGGATGCTTGGTTCCAGATGGTCAGATCTAGGTAAGCCCCCTGGAGCTGGGATGGGGTAACACCATCAAAGACAAACAAGTGCTTCCAGTGAGGGCAGGTTTCTTTCCTCAGGACAGGAGACTTCTGTTTTAACTCACGTTGGTCAGGGAGGACCAGGCAACTTCCAAAAAGGAATGAAAAAAAGAGATGCTCAGTGAGGTTGTTGCCCTGACAGGTATATTGCAGAGGTAGAAAACAAAGCATTTCCTCTAATCCCCTCAGGCCCCTCTCACCGTTTTGCCTTGTATATTAAGCATGCCAGAGTGCTGAATAGGATTATTTGGTGTCCCACAGATTATTCCCCCCTTACAATTAATCCATGTTCTTACTGCCTTCACTAGGCATAAGACTGAGCTCTCCTTATCATTCCACTTGTCAGTGACCACTATAGTAAACCCTTGGCCCCAAACCCACTGAACGATCCAGCAGTATCTATATAAGAACAGTGAAAACTGCTATTCCTGGTGAAGAAACTGAGACCATTTCACTGTGGCTCTAAGCCACATCTGATAAGAAAGTCTTATATGGCATAGTAGAAACCCTCAATGTATTTCTGCAGTCCAGCATCTTGCTTCCAGCAGCATCCCATGCTTGATGGTAGGATGTAAAAATGACCCTATGTACTAACTATGGTAGGCTGTACCTGGAAGAAAGAGCTCCCTCCTGGCCCCTGAAGTGATAAGAGTATATATCATATGCTCTGCTTCCATTCTAGGCTGGAAACAAGATGTTGTCTTTGTGCCACCATAACAATTTTTACAGTGGCACAAAGCAAAAGCAAATATAAATCCATGATCATAGGCATGCCACAAATGCCTTTGTGATCATGATAAAAGGGAATAATAATTTGTGCCACTTTTACATGACAGAAGTCTTATTTGTTTTATGGTAGGAGAGTACAGGCAGCCTGAAGCTCCCCACACTCTCTAACCTCCCCAGACAGGCTTGAGAGGCCCAGTCCTGTGCACCTCAGGAATTTCCATGGAGAAGTGGACCCCTCAAGTCCCAAGAACTCCTGCCCAGCTTTCCCCACTTGCAGAGATTTGCCCTGGAGATTCCCGGGGGTGTCTCTCAAAGTGGGAAACATTGCTTATTGTCCCATATTTTGCCCGATGAAGTGGATCAGCTGAGCTGGGCAAAATTGAATAGAACTATGGCAAAATTGACCATGTACAGGTGTTTGTGATACGGTGACTGCCCATAACAGTGGTTATCTCTTTCATCTGTAGTGATGTCTTTCATCAAGCGCAACCATTCCTACTTACTATGGCAAAGGCTGGATGGAGACATTTCTGTAAATGTCACCTACATCAGTTACAAGCACTTTGACAGTCATGAAGAAACAAGTCTTAAAAGGCCTAGAATAAGGAGGATACTAAATTCTCTCACAGCAGGTCCAAAGCTGCAATTCATTCTGCAACAATGCAGAAAAATTCATGAAGCAAGACATGAGTGCACCTCCTCTCTTCTGATTTAGAACCATATTTCCTACCTGTGAAACCTCAATATTCAAAACTGATTCAATACATTTCAATAAATGTCAAAGTCCCTTCAAATTCCAAGGCCCTGTTCAGAAAGGCTGAGGGCCAGATTATAGAGCCTTGACTTACGCTGGCAGGCACAGAGGTGAAGTTAACAACCTGGATAAGTGCTCACCATTGTGAGAAACAATCTAGCCCAGAGCACGTGCATAAAGAACCTTCATCTGCAGGTCCAGTCCCTGCTAACACTCAGCTCAGTACATAATATTTTCAAAAATTCAGAATCTGAAGTGTTAAATCTCTGACATACCCTTTTACAAATGAATTCAGGCTGCCAACAGATCTTAACGCGGGCAAGTTCTTGGCCTCAACTACTACGAGGTGAAGCTGGCCACCATGAGCTGCTCGGTCTTCTGTCCCTAAAACACAAACATTGCTTCCCATCAGTGACCAGTAGGAACAAATGGTTGTCTAGTTAACACAGTACTAAAGAAGGAAAGGAAAGATACTGAACACTGATTCTGAAGTGAGGGAGCACAATATCTTCTATGCTTCTGTAAACTGCAGATGTATTTTAGTATGAAAAATATGAAGCTCTGAAGTCACTTCTACAGCATGCAGTTGGCATGATGACAAGGAAATGTAACTGTGCCAAGCTGGTCCAAAAAAAAACAAACCCAGGGCCCACAAGCTGCAATTGCTAAGATCAGATATAGCCAATTCATCCACAATACTTGCATTCTGAAGCAGCAGCATCAGATGGTTCATTCCCAGTCTTTGCTGCCACTCTCCTCTCTTAGAAGTGCATTTATAAAGCAAGTAGCATAAAGGAAGACGGAAATTAGAGAAAGAGGAAGGAGAAGGAGCTCTGAATCAAGAGAAAGACTGGGGTTAACAGGGGTGGGCAAAATGCGGCCCCCAGGCCAGATGTGGCCCGCCAAGCCATTCCATCTGGCCCGCGGGGCCACTAAAAAATTTAGAAAATTAGTATTACTCTGCCCTGGGCTGCCTGTCATGTGGCCCTTGATGGCTTGCCAAAACTCAGTAAGCAGCCCTCCGCCCAAAATAATTGCCCACCCCTGGGTTAGAATATAGAGAGGGAAGATGGGGATCAAGAGAACAGACCAGAGAAAGAAATAAAACTTACAACTGGGTTTGATCCTTCCTCTAGTTCTTCCTGCCGCTATGGGTGGCTGCGCCTAGGTTTCCTGTAGGTGTTTAGCAATACCAAATGTGTGTAACTTCTTTAAGAATCCTACCCTGCAGTACCTGCCATTATCCAGCAAGCTGGAAGGGGAAGTTTCCCCAGACACCTACCTCAGCAGGTTTTCCTTGCTCCATCACTGACCACCCCATTTCCAAAAACTGACTCCCAGTCAATGTTAAAATTTAAACAAACATAAAGACCTTCAAGGGAAAGGTCTGAAGGAGAAGCCAAAAACTCAGGCCTGTACCTAGAAGACATTTCCCTACCTCTCAGTTTGTCATTACTGATAATCTAACTACAGAGAGCAATAACTGGGTCTCTCCAGACAAGGACAGAGGTGCATTGGCAGAGAACTGTGCAGGCACAAAACTGTGCAGCATCTCAGTGCACCAGGCTACAGGCATTGTAATGAGGGCTACTCTTGTATCCGCTTTTCTTTAAAAGAGGGAAGGAAGTGAGATTGACACAAGTCTGGATTTCAAATACTTTTACCAAATGCTTGTTTTATTTGGAAAATAAATACAACACAATCCACAATTTGCAATATCTACAGCATCAAGCAGAAAGACCCAAACACAAACGCTTCCCTGTGTGTGTCTGTTTCCATAGGCAGGGTATTTCACGTACTGCTGAAATACTATGTACCTTCCATCATGTGCTCTTCATACCGGAATTTTTCAGGCTGGGATGGTAAGCACATTTTTGCACGCACAAGAAGTTCTCCACTGTACTGAACTTGATTGTCTTCAGGCTTTTCAGAATGAAAAAGAACACACAGAGGCCTGTATTACTACAAATTACTATACAGCCTCCCCTCTCTATTCTTCACTGTCTACCTGTCACTGCACTGCACCCACTCACATGGTGGTGTGACAAGACTGTCCCTGCTACATCAGTTTCATTTTTCCCTCTCCATGATGTACACAGGGTGGTCTCTTCTACAGCTTTCACTACACTGCTTTTTTAAAAAAAAAATCTTTTGGAAAATTAAAAACAATACTTTTAACCTAAGGCCCAAGAATCACCTTAGCTTTGAGCTGGTACCAGTTGTATGACTGCATTGAATTGTCTTCAAAATTCCAAGACGACAATGGAATAAGCACCTCTCCAAGAAACACCCGATTCTTGAACACACCTGCATGCCAGACAGATATCTGAAGCTGTCGAGTTTCCAGCTGGGAGTAGTCAATCTTATACTAGAAAGATCAACAGCATTTAATACGCAACATGCAGGATCAATAGAGGCAGACCTTCACAAACACAATCCAACCCCAGCACCATCCTCCCACCCAAATCTGGACAATATCCAGCTTTAGCCCTGGAGCAGCTAACAGGCAAACTCAGCTGTGTCATCCAAGATGTGTTTCAGCAGCTTGCCTATTGCCTCCCCTGATACACTCACCTCTGTAATGGCTCCATGTTTGCAGAAAACTGCATTCACTCACATTTATTATTAATAAATAAATAAATGAATGAAGAGGACAATATTTGTAAAACCGCCTGGGGGAACACCTACAGTTGCAAATCCTACATTTTTTAAAGTTTAAATAGCTTTTCATCCTTTTGCTATATTCTTACACCTTCAGGTAGGACAGTAATATTAGACAGGCCAAGGTCATCATATAACTTGCCTGTGTCCTCCTGTTTTCCTTGTGTCTGCTGTACTAGGTAGACTAACACTAACACAGAAGAAAATTAATGTTTAAGTGAATTATTCTTAAGATGCAAACAATAGCTCTAGTCATATTGGGTGGATTCTCTTTTCCCCTACACTCTTTTGCATTGTTCTGGATGAACTTCTGTCCCAGACCCCTTCCTGGTTTAAGTTAGATCAAGTCCCCCAGCATGCTTTTCAGCCCTGGGCTGGGCTGCCTGCTCCAGAGAGCAGGGCTGGCCCTGCCCCTCTGCTCTCTAGCCCGGGGAGGAGGCATGGTCAGACACCAGCCAGCATGGCCCCCTGAGGCAAAGGGGCAGGGAGGGGGTTTATTCTCCCTCCCTCTCCTCTCCCCCTGGGGGACTGCAGCTGGGCTGTGTCTGGCTGGGGTGAAGCAGCCCCTGTCAGGGTCCTCCCCCTCACCACTCCAGCAGCAGTGGCAGCAGTGTGACCAGAGCTGGCCGCCATGGCACCGCCATCTATCCACCTTGCCCAGGGCTGATGCTAGGGTTGGGACCGGGGCTGTGGGGTTGAGCCAGGCCAGCCCGCAAGCACTGCTGAGGTCAGGGCCCTTCCCAGCCAGCTGCAGCTCAGGCTGGGGCTGCAGGAGCTGTGCACCCCAACTGCTCAGGACTCCCTGCACCCAGGTTGGGCTGGTGTGCCATGGAGCTGCAGTCAGCTAGGAAGGGCCCTGCCCCCACAGCCCAGGCTAGTCCCTCCGTGCCCACACACAGCAGCACCCACAGCCGGCCCAGCTCAGCCTCAGGCAAGGTGGGCAGATAGTGGGTCTGGTCCAGCCTGGGCCATGGGGGCAGGGCCCTTCCCAGCTGGCTGTGGCTCCATGACAGCCTGGCCCAGTGTGCATGAGTGGCGGCTGGCTAAGCAGTGTCATGGAGGCAACACCACTGCACCTGGAAGCGGGCACCTTGGCAGCCAGACTGGCCACCCAGGTGGGACGAGTCCTTCGTGCCTGCAGCTACCCGGGCTGGCTCAGAGATGCTGGCAAGCCCAAAGCCCAGCAGCCGCCCACCATGGCAGTTCATGTGCCCACAACTGCAGCCACCGTGCCCTCTGCACGGTGCTTGCTCGTCTGTCTCACGGGGAAACTCCAGAAAGACGAGCAAGCATGGTGCAGGTGGCACAGCAGCTGCAGGCACACAAGCCCCCACAGTGGGCGGCTGCTGGGCTCTGGGCCTGCCAGCACCTCCAAACTGGCCTGGGCAGCTGTGGGCATGAAGGACTCATCCCATGTGGCCAGGCCAGCTGCCAAGGTGCACACCTGCAGCTGCACCAGAGTCACACCTCTGCACCACTGCTTGGTCAGCTGCCACCCATGAGCACCAAGCTAGGCTGTCATGGAGCTGCAGCCAGCTGGGAAGAGCCCCCTATCCCCCCGCCTCACCCGGGGCTGAGCCAGGCCAGCTGTGAGTGCTGCTAAGAGCGGGTGCAGAGGTTCCAGCCCAGGCCAAGCCAGGCTGCAGGGGCACGGCCCTTCCTAGACAGCTGCAACTCCATGACAGCCCAGCCCAGCCTGGGCGCAGGGAGACAGAAGCACTCCGGATACAAGGCTCCCGTGGCCCCAGCCCAAGCCACAGCTGGCTGGGAAGGGCCCTGCCCCCGCAGCCCAGCCCAGGCTGGCCCCTCCACGCCTGCCCTCAGCTGTGCCCATGGGCTGACCCAGCTCAGCCTCACAGCCCCAGCCCCAACCTCATCCCTGAGTGAGGTGGGCAGATGGTGGTGCCATGGTGCATGCCCCCCACCATGTGAGCAGCCAGCAGGGCACAAAGTCAGGAGAGGGGAGACAGGGGAGTTTAATCCCCCTCCCTGCACCCCCCTTCACCTGAGGCACTGCCCTAGCCAGTGTCTGGCCATGCCCCCCACCCCCCCGGGGACAAATCTGGCAAGGGCTGCTTCCCCCTTCCCCCTCCAGGAACACCCCAGCTGGGGTCCCTGCCAGCCAGGGTGGGGGTTTAAACCCCTCCTCAATCATACTCAGCAGCCTGCCAGTACCTAGCCATGCCCCCCCTACCCCCCAGGTCAGTTTCCCTTCAGCCTTGCAGCTGCTGTGGAAACAAAGGGAGAGTTCACCTTGGTGTCCCCCAGTTTCTAGCCTAAGCTACTGCAGGCATGTGGCTGCATTTCCAGAATCAAAAGTGAATGTCTATTCACCTGCAAATCAGTTCAATCTATGCAGGTTAGGCTAACCTATAAAGATTGAATTAATTCAGGCTCGGGCGTTTTGAATGCTTGTGCTTAGCCTAAATGAACAAGTGCAAACACTGATGTATGAGGCATTAACTGTGTCACAGAGGAAGAGAAAAGTGAAAAGTGACATACACAATGTATTATTTCTTTAAGCGGAATAGGTATTCGATGCAAAAGTAATGATTCACTCAGCAAATGGCCAGGGGCACTCCCATTGACATTCAGAAAAGAGAGATATTAGGTCATATGGATAAAGTACAAAGTACTAATTGTCCTCTGCAATATACGTAAATTAGGTTTATATTGATAAATAGATAAGACCACTTCCTTTCACCATTTTTCAGATGGCATTAGCTAGAAACTACATCGGAATTCAAATCAACAGTATTTTCCATGGACACAGGACAATATTTCTACAATATTGCAACTTACTAATAAAGCTATCCAGAAATATACACTCTCCTTCCTTTGTTCTCAGGGTTACCATCATATTTGCTGATGGTGATTTTCACTCTGATCTCTTAAATAGGCTGTGACCTAATCCTGAAAGCCTCTTCACAACTCTTGCAATTTGAATGGGAGTTCTGACCCCAGGCAACTTGCAGGATTGATTGGGCACTGGAAATGGAGACTTTGCTAAGCAAAGGAGAGCTCCCAGCCCACAAATGTTGACAAGTCACACCTTTAAAGTTTCGTGGAATGCTGGATCCACTGTCCCCTTTCTGACAACGGTCTTCCTTTTGCTCCGAGCAGTTTTGTCAGGAAGCAAGTAGGTCTTTACATACCTGGAAGCGAGAAAGAAAGTAGAGTGGGGTGAAAGACCAAAATTAAGAAGAGCTCAACCTGAGAAGGAAAGGAAATTAAGCCAGCCTGCTTTTTTCATTTTATACTTAGTGCTGGTAAAGATTCAAATTAAGACTAAGGGAAGCCTGACATCCTGTCATCTATTTATCTGAAGAACAGACTAGAGCCATGCAAACTTCCCACATATCCAGTCGGAGTGTTTTGGTTTGGCTCTGATTTACACTAAACGGGCTACTGAGTTTTCATGCCCATTCAATTCTTAGCCTCTGCTGAAACTGCCAACAAGGAGGTCAATTAATACCCCCTAGTAATGGTTTTGTGATGTGGACATCTGCTATGCACTGGAATGGGACCACCAACTGAAGGTTGACCAACTAGTCAGCCATTTGTTCCAACTTTAGAAAGCCTGCAGTTGTTCATTTAAAAAAAATATTTTCATGATGGTAATATACCACTCCTGTATGATTAGGACATTCATTTTTACTGTACTAATGCAGTATAGTAATTCGTTACTGTTTCCCATGCTGACTCATTTAGTAGCAAGCAAGTAAGCCTTAAAGGGTAAGATTTTGAAGTGGGCAACTGTCCTAACTCAGATCCCATTGAAAGTAAAGCATTGATTGCACTGGAAGATGAGCTGGGCCACCGGAGAACTTAAAAAATCTAGGGTTACCTTATTTCCAATTTCAAAAGAGAGGATACCTGTTGGGGGTGAGGGGAAAAGGTATATGATTGTTGGGGGGGCAGTGATATGCCCCCTGCTCCCCTGGTGGGCTTCACTTCCAGCCCACAGCCACTTTCCCACCCCCCCAGCCCAGCTGGTTGATGCTGCTCACTCCTGACCCACAGCTCCCTGCTCCCCACTGGTGCCCCTCACTCCCAACCTGCAGCATATCTTTCCCACCCCACAGCCTTGCTAGTGCTCCTCACTCCCAAATCTGAGTTGGTCTAATACAAGATATTGGATTTACTCTAAAGATGATTAATGGCATTCTATATTCCCAAATGCTACCAGAACCATATTTTAACATGACAGCATGTTGTATTCAATTCATTATAGAATAACTCTGTTTAATCAGCCTCTGGTTAAATTCTGAGCTGTAGATCAGTCATCTCTCTCAGCAGCAACGTAGACCTTGCATTCCTTTCCCATGCCTCTCAAGCCCCTTTGAACTGTAAAAACCACTACTGTACCTGTGTGTGTGTTTAAAAGCTTAAGCTTCCTACTATATAAACATGAAGTAATACATTTACCAAGGAAACCAACCCACGTACAACTCAGATTTCTAGCAGGACTGAAAGCCTGTTATAAACATCTCACCAGCCAAGTTTTGTTGCAAGTGTCCTAATTGCAACTAGTGCTCATCCTTTTTCTGCAGAAAGAGCACTCAGTATAGCCAATATGGAGTGTTATGTTCATTACAAACATCTTTCCACACAACTCCCTAGGCTTCTTGTGATTTGCATACTGTCTACACAACTAGAAAACTTCAGGAGTATTCAGCACTTATTAAACATTCCCTAACCATGTCACTTCATTACCTGGCATCCCAACCAGGCTTTCTTTTTTTTTCCTTTTTTCTGTCAGACAACTCATTTTTAGTCCCCTTCTCTGCAAGAGATGTCACAGCAAAGTCTTCCTGGTAGGATCTGAGCTGAACTCTGGAATTTTAGAATGCTGATTCAGACTCATTTACGTAGTGCATGATAGCAAGGTCAAGCATTAAACATATGGCTGGATACTCTGACTAGCAATTTTCCATTAATTATTTTTTCCATGGAAAGGCTGAAAGAATCATTCATAAACAACTTAACAAACAAGCAAGATATCATCTAAATGTTGCAAGCCTGAAAAAAAAGTATGCTTACATCTTTCATCTGTAGAAAATGGGTATTCTTTGTATGTCCAATAATATATTACTATAGTTTGAAGTTACCTGCTTTTATATATCAAAACATCTTGCAAAATCTGGATGTATTCCCCATGTTAATGATAGGAAAGATGAAGCACAGAAGTGTTAAATAACTCACCAATGTCACACACTGAGTCACAAGATGACTAGAAACTATGACAGATCTCTCAACTTTCTGCTTCATGTTGTAACCACTTAGCATGGGTGTGCATATTTTTTGCAGGCATTGTTGGCCAATACATACATTTGTCCTGTATACAAAATGGCAGCTGGATATTACTCTGTGACACTTTAAGCTCATACACGTTTATTTTTACTTGCCTTGTTTTTTTTTCCTGTCTTTTGAAACCAAAAATACTTACGAGTTACACTTTTTTTTCTTCTCCTCTCCATAAGCCAGATTCTTGCAAGCATTGATGCAGACTTCTAAAGTGCAGGTTTTGAAGATATATCTGAGGGCAAACTCTATTTCCCCAGTGACGTTAGCCTTGTCAAAATTGTCAGCCTCAGTGCAAGTGCTGTTAAGGCTAAATAAACTCCCCTGACAAAAGACAAAGATCAAGGAAAAGCAAGCTTGCATCCAATGAGATGGTAATTTTTTACTCTCTAATTCTCCATTTCTTTGGGCTAAATTGATTGTTAAAGCTATTGCAAGTAATTCTGATCCAAGATAATATGTACATGAAACTATTCTTTCACTATCCTTGCTATATGTATACTAGACCTTAACATTTGATTTTCTATTTCTCTATATAAAATGAACCATTTTTATATATTTATCTGCATGGGCTAAGGGCACTATCTTCCTCTACAAATGACTAACCATAACCATCCTGCGCATAGCCATTTCTGTACCTGGAAACTGACAACAATAAAATATGCAAACATAAAAAAATACTTTTAAAGAGAGACAAGGCTTCTCTGTGATACCTTTTATTGGACCAGCTGTACAAATCGAAAAGCTGTTGGACAAGCTTTCAGGCATCATAAAAATGCCCAAGGTCAGAAACATGTTTGATAGGAATATTACTGGACCTTATTGACTCCCACTGACGGTAACAGCAAATATGAAACATGTCCCTAAACTATGCTGTGGTGTGCAACCGAAAGTAAGGGATTCTGCCACGGTGCACAACCCCAGTGAGAAGAGCTCCTGTCTCGCTTTGCCCCTTCAGGGCCCTGGAGGAAACGCAGCAGAAGGTACTGCATCACTTATTAAATATTCTGTTGGCCTCTCCAGTTGTGCACTGAGATCCATTCTAAATGACATCTGACAAGGCAAGGAGGATTTCGATTCAGACACCTTCCCTGCCTTGCCACCACATTTGTCTGCCAGTGCAAAGAGGAGGTGGATCCATAGTTTCATCTCTCCTCCCTGCTCCTTGGAGGAAGGAGGTTCAGAGGTGCAGCTCACCAATGGAGCATCTATGTCTAACACTTACACAAGGCATGAAACTGGGGTGAGGGAGCAACCTCTATGCTTCTTCACAGCCATATACACTTTGGGTGCAATCCAGCCCTTGTGATATCACGCAGTGTTTTTAAATCGAAACAGGCTTGGTCTCCATTGACTTTTAATTATAGTCTTTAACACAATTACTCCGAGGTTTCTTTTTAAGTAATGATTCCAGTCAGTGTCACTAAGAAATTGCTATTGCAGTAATTATCTCACACTAACACCTTCACTGAATACTAAGTCACTATTCTGTAAAACACACCCTCTGAAAAAACACTGTCCCACATACAAGCTTGGTTAACCAAGGAGTTTTTACTTTGCACGCCTTAGCAACTAAGAGTACAAGTTAATGTTTACAATAGATTAACATTTGCATGGAAGAGTGATATTTAAATATACGCAGGTTTGCCATACAGTTCACACCAGTGACTTTGACTGAAGTCAAAGAAGTGACCTATGCAGTCTTATGAGCAAAACAGCAAACAATGTTTTTTTTGAAAGAAGGGTCAGTGTGAAAAGTGAAGTCCTGAGAGGAACTACTTTGAAGCTGTGTACTTAACATGTAAGCACATGGATGGAAGTCAGAGTGGAGTTTAATTTGGTTGTAGCTGTGTTAAAAGCTGCTCACCACTCATTGTAGCGGATATTTGGAACAAGTGAATAAAAAATAAAAACAAAAAAAAAGACTTCTTTTGTAACAAGGGAATAAAAAATAAAAACAAAAAAAAAGACTTCCTTTTTTTCACTATCACTCATCATGGCAAAAAGGAGGATGAATAGATTTTGTCCCTGTTTTAATATATTTTAATGACAATTTTGCGAAGTTGGTCTAAAGTTTATTTCATGGTATTTTCTTCTTAATCAAAAGAGGTAGGTCTATGCTAACCAGTGCTGTTCAGATTAGCAGCACTGTGCAAGGAGGGCAGGGTTGTTTTCAGCACACTGTGTTAATAAGCACCAGATGCTTGGACAACAACAAGCACTGCAAGCAAAGGATGTATACTTACACATTGCAAAGGAAATATAAAATGTTATTATGCAACCAGCAGGAGACTGGTTTGGTTTGGCATGGCTCCAAAGAACCATATTATTCCACTGCCTTCTTAACACCAAGTGTGAAATGCCTAGATGCTACAGGCCAAATCCTGCCTCACTGCTCAGAGGTCTGAGTGCCACATACATAGTTTTCAGGGGTCTAAGTGGTTAAACATATTTTTGCTTTCTGCTTACTTAGCAGCCTGATTCCACTAAGACCCCTACATTCCCTATGTGCCTCCATTTCTTGTCCTACATGTCTAAGCTTGTTCTACTATGCATGTTTGGAAACACTCCGATACAGCTATTGAGACATCGTAACTCTCTTTATGCTTTACTGGAATCCAGTTTCACCCAGGAAACATTTTGCAAAGGACACCTAAAACTATCAGCAAAATTCCCAGTGATGGAGCCACTGCCAGGTCAATCCAGCCTGGGAGGCTCCCTGCATTTCAGATTCAGCCCATAAAAAGCCCCGTTGTCTGGATCCAGCCCAGGGGGCGGGGGGTGCTGCAGGCAAGTTTGACATCCCTCCCTGCTTTAATGTCAATACTTACATGTTTTACACCACCACAGAAGACAACATCGCTCAGGGGACTAGAAGGAAGGTCTTCTCCTGGCCTGCAACCCTTTTTGGTAAAGATTGCATTGTTGTCTCTTGTGCCAATGATGAGCTGCTGCAGGCTGGGTGCATTTTGAATCTGTAAGAGATGTAGTAACAAACTTACACGTGTTTTTTTGTTTGGTTGGTTGTTTTTCCACAGTAGTGATTCCACAGCTGCTGCATGGGTGCTTCTATCCCAGGTAGGAGGGGGAAAGAAGCACAAAAAATAAAACACCCCAAAAAGCTTCCCCACTTAACACATGTTCCAATTTTGTGGGGGTGATCTGTGGGGAAAAGGTGTGTTGCGCGTGAGAAAGTGAGGTAGTACAATCTACGAAATACATGCTCCCAAGGTCATAGAATAAAAACTGATAGCAGTGGGAAAGAAGGAGAAGGTCACTTTTAACAGATTTTTGCATTAAAGAGAAAGAGAGTGGGTGGATTTCACCACTAAAGACTAGCAAATATGTGACCTGCATGAGCCGCCAAAATCAGCTAATTTACTTTTGCCAATTGTACCCCTGCACCAGAAGGGAGAAGAACTAAGAACATAGACATCAGATAAGATGAAAAGGTACAATTATTTTGAAAGCATACTTCAATCTGTGAACAACAGCTTGAGGAACAGCCAAACTATTATACTCTCATGAGCTGGATTAAATTTAATTCACACTGGTGGGTGTAGCAGCTGCCCTTCATTTCTGATAAATCTAAGAAACAGTTAAGGATAGTGCCAGAATATGCTTTGGGCACATAGCCCTGAGAAAAGCCCAGAAAGAGAGCCTTTTGTCCAAGTGCTGGCTATAAATGGGCATGGAAATGTGTTAAAAGAAACCATCTCCTGTGGTTAGGAAAACAGGACTTTATGCACTCTTTGTAAATTAGCAGGGTTTCATTAAAGAATGACCTGATACTAACAACAGTTCTTCTCCTCCCCAAAACAATCTGCTTGACCATACACTTTAGCTAGTGCTTTTGGAGCCACAAAAAAAAGAAGAGTAACCATATTGTCTACTCTGCTAAATACAAAGCAAAAACCCTAAAGATGTTAGATGTTATGAGGTACAGTAAATACCAGTGTATCTTGTCATTTGATCTAACCCCCTGCATAAGTTAGACCCCTATGTAGCCTGTTCTTAATATCTGTGCCTGTGTGCACTAAGAAGGCGGTATTCAGTAATACCAACTCTCATGAAAAAATCATGAGACTCCTGATTTCCAAGTCAAACTAACTCTGACTCATGATCTCCATGATAGAGAGGTCAAATCTCAGGATTTTTTCTTCTGGTGCGTGTAGAGAGCGCCAAGCTGGTAAGTCTGTGGAGGAGAAGGGGCAGGAAGAGAGAGAAGGGGCGGGGGCGCGGATCGAGGCCCCCATGGTGAGGGAGGAAGGGAGTGGGGCAGTGGCTGGGCTGAGTGGGACCCCGGGGCCATGGGCAGCTGTCTGTCTGTGTGCATGTGTCCGTGTGTTGGTGCGTCTGTGCGTCTGCCCCTCACGCCCAAGCCGCAGTCCCCCCAGCCCTGCTGCTGCCCCTCACTCCTGACCCACAGTGCCCCACATTTTGCCTGGGTGTGCGTGGACTCCCCCTCCCCAGGCTCCAAGCCCCCCACACCTTCACATATAACCCCCCAAACACACACTTCAAAAACAGCATCTCATGATTTACATTCTAGATTGCTTGATTTTTAGGAGTTTGTCCCATGATTTTTGACACAGCAGAGTTGGCAATACTGGGTACCTGACTGCTGTTAACATATTGTGTAAGCCTCTTTGAGCCTTGTTTCTGGGTTTCTCCATCCATGTAATAAGGATAAAAAGAAGTCTCCTTTTCCTAGGGATGTTGCAGAGCTTGTTTAATGTTTTTAAAGTACTATGATATTCTGGCCCGAGAGGCACTAAAATGGCATGTTCTAAATCTTACCTCATGAAGTCAGATTTTGCATTGACCAACTGTTACCATCAGAACATTTTCAGTCTTTTCTCAGTTAAATATGCTTGCTCCCCTCACCCTCCACCCCACTTTAACCCATTGGTCAAGCTTGCAGGATGGTAGTACAAACAGTGAAGTTCACTTGATAGAGATGGATCTTACCCTTGGGACTAAAGCTCCAAAGGTGTAAGAAAGCAACCAGGGGCAACAGGATGCATGGGGGCAGTGGCAACTCCTGGCTGCCCCTGTGCTGCCAGCACGATCGTGCAATTATGGCAGCAACTGATATTTTTCTGCCCCATACGTCAGTGCCTGGGGCAGCTGCTGCAGTCGCCCTGTCCTAGTTATGCTACTGTGAAGTCCTACTTTGAAAGACGAAGCTAAGATCAGCATAAGAGGATTCCATATGTGTTGTTTCTCAATTGTATCCAGGTTTTGCTCATGTCCCAAAAAAAAAAGACTTCCTCCCCTCAAACATCACTCCTGCAGCCTCAGATCTAAAAATGAAAGTGGGTTCCTTAAGATTGATGCATCCTGACAAGCAAAAGATTTGTGGGATATATTCTACCCCCAACTAATGTGAACAACTTATTTTTAAGGGGGGTTTCAGTTGTAACTAAGGACAGAATTTGGCCCAGCCACTGGAACTCCATCAGTAATCCCACTGTTCAGGCATGAATTACAAAGGAATTACCTCACTCCATCTGCATTGTGCTCACTCTACAAATCTAACAGGAGTAGAAAACAGTAATGTATATGTATATTCAAAGCAAATAACTATATCTCAAGAAGTAGGCATGTTAAATTAAGAAAATGTCATTTTGACTGTCAATCTTCAAAACAGAACTACAGTTTGAGATCACTTTAAGACTTCTGGATGAGGGAATACAAAGAATGAGATCTGAATAAAAGAAAGGTGGCAACCTTGTTTGCACTGATAAAACGAAGATAGCAAATCATACAGGAAATGGCAGATAAGGTGTTGGATAAAAATGAATGAACTAACTACACAGCAAAGTGTGAGACATGATAGATATGTCCACTAGCAAAAAGATTTACAAAAATCAGAATGAAAGAAAATGCAGGAAAAAAAATAAGAAGAGTAATAGCTAAAGAATACATTTAGGAATTGCTGCATGAGTAAAAAAAGCCAGAAGATGGGAAGAAAGATGTGAGTACAACTTTCCCCAGCACCAGAGAACCTAGATAACAATGACACCCACATAAGGGAAAAAAAAAGAAAGATCAACCAAAACTCCAGTAAAACTTCACCCAAATTAGCCCAAACTCCAGCAGAAGTTCAGGGTTTACAGTCTGAGGGAAACAAGACACCCTTGTTTTGCAGAAGCAAAGCCCTTACTGCACAATCAAGAAATGTTACCCTTCTCTCTCTCTCTAATATAAAGTGCTGGTGTACCTTAAATGCTTTAACATTTTAGGGCCTTAAAGTCATTAAAAATTCCAGGCCTATAGCTGGGGTCTACCATTGATATGCTTGGCAAATTACAGACTCCTCATTCACGCTTAAAACATAACAGGGTGTGTGTTTAGTATGCAGTGGAAACACAGCCATGGTGTGCAGACAACTAGCCTGCTAATTCCACCCATGCTGCTTCTCAGTGCAATGAAACATGGCAATGCTCTTTCAGGGGAAGCATATGTATGTTTTGGTCTCATACAATGAAAAAAAAACCCACCACACTGACAGGGTCAGTCTTTCTGCTTTGAATAATATTTGTAATACTGTTTCAGTTAATCCAATTACAAAAAAAAACAGAGCAATTTTGCTTCATTTACACAAGTATAACAGGATTTGTCACACCAAGTCAAGTCATCAGTCCATTGAGTCTTGCATTCTGACTCTGAACCCAACCAGTATTTGAAGTTTTAGAGGAACGTGAAAGCAGCAAGGTGACCGTGCAAGGTTATACTGAAAGAAGGGAGGGAGGAAAGAGGAAATTTCCTTCCTGATTCCTATTGTGAAAATTGCCCTAAAGCTAGAGCACTTACATAAATGCCTATCATAACAACTTAGTATGTGAAATCTATTTGCTTCAGTGGCTGTGGCAACTCAATGGAGGACTCACCACCTGGAAATTTTCAGTGTATAAAGTTTGATGATTTGGGAGTAAAGTGCATATAAGGCAACAGTTCACTGTTCTACAGTAGTAAAACTTCATATTTCCATCCCCACACAATAAAAAGAGTGCAAGTGTATTTTGTTCACCATTTCAAAGACACCGACTGAGACAAGGCAGTGAGGCACCTTATAAACCAACTTGTTTGCAAAGGCATGAGCTTTCGTGGGCTACAGCCTACTTTATCAGATGTGAATAGACTGTGTAAAATCTGACAAACTGAGGAGTAAGTCTATGGAAAACTAGTGCCTCTCTGAACAAGTTATTTTACAAGGTGTCACACTGCACTGTCTTCTGCCAAACTTCAAACTAACATGGCTAACTACCTGTCTCAAAGATACTAACAGTTAGTGACCAACAAGGGGAGAAGGGCAGAAGACTTTCCTGCCCAAGGGTTCACACAAGAGCCAACAGCTCTCCTTGGCTGATTAGCAAACTACACAAGATGCTCCAACGGAACCAGCAGCTCCGCTCTGGTCCCCACTTTGTATCATTAGGGCTAAGTACAGGCAATCAAAAAGCCCAAGGCTGAATTAATCAATCTTCACAGGTTAGTCTAAACTGCATCGATTGAACCAACAAGTGAGTGAACATATATTCATTTTTGATTCCAGAAATGCAGCCACATGCCTGCAGGGGCCCAGGCCAGAAGCCAGGGGCACTAGAGCATACCTCCCTGCTCACCTGGAGCAGACAGCTTGGGCCAAGGCTAACCCACCCACCCTGAAAAGCAGGGCAGGGTTGTAGGGGAGGTGCAAAGCATCCTGGGATGTTGGGGGACTGAAAGCTACTTGAATCTGGAGAGAATCTGGAACAGAAGTTCAATAAACTGATTTAACCTAAATCAGTTAAGTCAGATACTACATCTACAAAGTTTATCTTAAACCAGTTTCAGCCATTTTGAAAGTAGTGTATGTGCATAGAACTGTCATCGTGTTACAGATTTGAACCAGCTTCCAATCACTTATACCAGTGTAATTTTTGTCCCTAGCCTAAAGGCTGAAGCAGAGCCAGCAGCAGACTGGAAGCACAATCAGAGCAACCTGATGGCTGGCACAGCATGGGGCAAAGTGATTGCACAGAACTCGCTACCAAGCCTGGTGAATTCCAGCCAAAAAGAAAAATTAAGTCACAAG